TCTCTTAAAATTATTTCTCCTGACTAAAATTTTGCTGGAATAAGGATGGAATCCCAGTATTGTTAAACTTACGTTTCTCTAATGATCACTTTTATGTAGTTAATGAACCTTCGTACTGCTGTTGAGATGAACGTGTTCATCTCAATTACCCATTGTTGATCGGGTCTTATATTGGGACAGTGTTCTAATTTTTTAGTTCTTTATATGTTATAGATATTAATTCCCTACATGAGGAGTAGGTGACAAAATTATTTCCCATTCTGTAGTTTGTTTCTTCACTGCACTAGTTGTTTCTTTTGCTGTGCAGAAGTTTTTTAACTTCATATGTCTTATTGTTTATTCTTGGTGTTAATTCTTGTGCAATTTGAATTCTAATAGAAAGTTCTTGCCTATGCTTATGTCTTCAAGTTTTACATAAACATGCATGTTTTACATACCTATTTTACAGCAGCGCAAATCACACTACATAAATCTTGGAAGTGGCATATATCTAATGATAAATAGATAAACAATAAGTCATATTTATACACAATAGAGTACTACTGAGCCTTAAGGAGAATAAATTTGAATCGGGTTGTTAGAGCAACCTTGTGAATTTGAAATCAAACCTAAAGGGGAAGTTTCTCTTTGGAGAAAATAGATTTCTTTCACTCTGTACTAACAAACACTATAGACACATAATTGAAATCTTTTACATTCTGCATTCTCCTCTGCACCCCCAAGAGAACTGAATTGTTTGGAGAATGCAGAGAGTAGACCATTTTATTTAATTAGAAGCTTTGAGATTTTAAGCATCTTGTGCTAGAAACTAAAACCCTACTCCTGTGAAATTTTACTTGTAATTCTTTGATCTCAGTCTTGGTGAAAACACCATGAAGATGTCCTGTGGGCAGATTGTAGAGAAGAAATGTCAATAGAGGAGGTAGGTATGTCTTGGTGAGGGCAGGTGGAGTAAAAAAGGAAAAATCAAGACAAGCTGGGCACTGAAATTTTCCTCTAGAATAATAATGCTAGAAAATTCAAATATTTAATTAGTCTCTGACGTTTAAGTTTCTGTACTTCAACAGATCTGTAGTTTCCACTGAGATCTGTATTTTCTAGCTATTCTTCTGCTTTGAGATATTTTCTCTCATGCATATAATTTCTGAATAGAAAGACTGACTCCAACTTTTGCTATCTTACTTTTGATTAAAAAAACAAAGGTTAGATTATCAGCATGAAAACTGGAATTTGTCTTTTTGATTTATTTCCTTCATAGTGATATTATGCCTAGGATAACTCAAAGGTGTTGCTGTAATTTTTAGAAATATTGTATTTTCTTCTTTTATTTCCTTCTTTCTTTCTTTTCATCTTTCCCCATTTTCCCTTGCCTTCCCTGCCTTTCCTTCC